AATGTACCTCATGAATGTCTGAAGCCCATCAAACCAATCTGTAAAGCAGCAAAGATCAATTGGAATGCCAAAAAAGTAACATGAAGTAACGCAATAAAATAGGAAAAGTTAAACATAAGACAACTGAGCCATTGACAATGAACCAAAACCAACCAACCATGATTTCCAGGAATGACAAAACACTGAGGCCCTTCATACTGCTTCAGATCTGTAACACCACTAGGTAATTCTGGCTTGTTTACAGCTATATGATCCTCCTTGTACCAGAATGGAGGCTGAAGAGCATATTCAAAAGGACGAAAAAAGCGCCTCTCATATGTAAATGCTGATGGATTAGGATAGCTATTAAAGAAATAAATAAGAATCAATATACAAGGTAAGATCTGACCAATTCAGGAATTGAGCAGCTCTGATTCTGTTCTTCATATTTCTAAGCTATAAATTTTCAAATGTTCAACTACAACTAGAATATGTGTCCTTTAAATTAACGCTCGCAGATGTGAGGAATAGCATGTACCTTCTCTTTAAAAAAAGAGAGAGAGAGAGAGAGAGAGACGCCGACTATGCAAAAATACTTCACTTCTATTAAAGCTTTTAACATACAACTCAAACATATACATTTCTCATTCATAACACCTCACAGTTGTGATGGAAAAAACCATGTTACCATGACATTATTATGCAAAAAACATCATATACATAAGTTCTAATGGCCTAACATAAGTTCACATAATTTTTTTAAATTAAAAAATTACACAATAAAATCAACTAGTCCTGCATGATGTCAATACATCAGAAAACTGAAGATTTATCTGCCTGATAGAACAATATACCAAAATCAAAAGTTCGAATACACACATATCCATATTTAAACATGAAAAATATATTATATTTCACAAATACATCTACAAATAAATCCATATAAAATCTACGAACTTAAGAGGGTAATGGAGGAAATTATTTAATACATTAACCAAAAGATGAAGTTTAGAACAATTGAACCCATAATAGGTTCTGCGTCACCTTTGAGAAGGGGGGAAAATGAAAATTTAAAATAAAGCTATTGCATTGTAAGAGCTTCAGCTAAAGGAAGCAAGAACCTGATGAAATTCAAAGGTGACAAAGGTGAATGCTGGAACAGATAGGAGAGACAGAGATAAAGAGAAATGGAAAATGCTTTATGCAAACAAGTTTTACTAAAATAGTCTTTCAAATAATGCAATAGTTTATATTGATTGTGCGGCAGTTTTGTCCCCTCAAAATTTAAAAATGTGATAAGATCCCTGCTAAATGACAAGATCACAGTACTAAAGAAAACTTGCAGTGAACAAACAAAAAGGAAGAACGACTTCTTGATATTAAACTGATTAAGAACAACAAAAACAACTGTAGAATACCCCAAGAAGAAATGAAAGAAAAAAAAAAAAAAAAAGATAATTGGACTTTTGAGAGGTGCGAGCTCTCCTACTGGATTTTCCTACTTCTTTCCTGCCTCTTTTCCCATTTCTTCTCACTTATATACTTGGGGATCTGTAACAGCTTACTCAACCGAATTTGTTGTGCCCATGTGCATGAAACTTCCTTTTTTTTGCCCTTCCTTTTCTGCCCCTAACCTCTTCTCGCGCCTTGAATACTGAATTTGGATCTGTGGCTTATCAAAATGTTAACCATCATCTGGCACCTAAGCATTAGGAGATGTTTTTGGTAGATTTCTTTGGTATTTATAAAATCATCGCAAAAACGTTTTCTTATGTACTAATTACATGCAAGATTCAAGAACAATGAAATAACATCATTTATAACAGATTTCATAAATGATGTATATTTCCTTCAGAATGCTAAAAAAATATCCCAAAAGGCCCCAAACCTCAAATTTAACAGGTCATCTACCAAACCAATCACATTGCATCCTGTAAGTTGCATCCTCTTGAAAGTATTAATATGCCCCCGTTTGATCCACATTTTTTCCCCAGAATGCATTTTTCTGTCACATCACAGTGGGACCCAAAGCACATGACTGACTTGCTGCCAATTAAGCTTTCAAACAATGCTAATTTCCATTTGTGCCCCTGTTGTCCTTTTCTTGTGGTTTGAACGAAGGGCAAATGTGGAAGAATGGTGTAAATATGTAGCACATGGTACAGCTAAGTCAGGGAGTTGTCAGGAGAGATACTGTTTGCAAAGGTAGGATTTCTCATTTTATAGGACAAAAAATATGGCTCAAACAGCCCCTATATAAGCCTTATAAATACAAGCAGCAACAAAAAGGTTTAGAGCTTACGCAAGATCTCCCCCAATAAGGAGCAGGTTACCACGTGGCAGTGTAAGCAGAGAATTATTACTCTGGACCCTAATTGAAGGCTGAGCAAGAAGCCGTGCCACACTATAAGAAGAATTTCCACCATCACCAGTATCAGCCATAAAGTCGAACCACAGTTCATCTTTCTCACTGAACTGGTCATACAACAGATCATCCTGGTCAGCACCATCTTCAACCTTGCTCATTGCTGCCTGATAATCAGAAAACAGGCATAATCAAAGATAAGTAATGTATTAAAATTTAATGATGATCAAAACAATATTCGAAGAAAAATATATTAGATTTTTTTTTTTCCATACAAAAATAAAGATAAAGCAAGCATGTAACATCCGGTATCCACCATGTAGCTTGAAAATACAAGCAAAGGTTCCAGCCAAATTTGGTTACATGAAATCACAACAAGGTGTCAAAAAGGAGATTTTGCCACTATTCAAGGTAAAAAAGTTAAATCACAGTACGGTCAAGTGAATAAGTTGAAACAGTAAAACAAACCTGCATCATACGCATGTCAAAACGCCCAACAAACACAGTTACTGATACCAGTAGGTCAAAAACTGTCTTGAACAGATCCGTAGATGTCCTGCATCAAATCATTGGGAACATTAAAATCATTGAAGCTGAAACCATTCACTTTTCCATCTGACTGAGAAAGAGATTGATCGACATACCCTGAGTACCAAGGAACCATATCCAAAAAATCAGGATTCATTTGCTTTTTCTTTAACTTGTCAAATTCTTTTTGTGATACAGGGTGAGTAAGTGCCCATCTGTTGATTGTTGCACATTAACAAACAAAGCAAGTTAATCAATAATATATTTAAAAAAAAAAAAAGGAAAAAAAAGAAAAGAACAAGAGGCCTGGTAAATAAGAGGAACGGGAGAACTGCATTGAATAAGTACCAGACTCGTCAATATTCAGGGACTACATGTTATCACAATTTTATGAGGATAACACAAGGAAGAATATAAACATACATACAGCCCGATATAGATTCGAAAGACAGATGCTAATGTCAAGGTTGGGTTATGAAATAGACTGATCTTTCTCTCATTACTATAGTAAGGAAGTAGGCATCTCAAAAAAAGAAAAAAAAATGTTTCACAACGATAAAATAAATCCAGAGGCTCAATTCACATATTCAGGGTATGGACCTCTGAGAGAAAATAAACTTAAAACATGGCATCAGTCAACTCTCACCCTGTTGATCTTTCCACGATATAATGGGCAATGTAGAGGCCAATAAATGTGGCCCATAATGAATATATAGGTGAAATTTCATTTGGTGATTCTGCACACGAGCCACTACATGTCAACTGAAAGATGAATTGGAAAGAGAAATACGTCAGCAGCTCTATAAAGCCATTCATAATGTGAATCAGGAAAATGACAGAAAAAATCTTACCTCTCCATAAATGACCCATTTGGACAAGAATGGATAATCACTAGCAGACCCAACTGGAGCAAACCAAGATGAGCAAACTTGATCCTTGAACTGATTCATGCGGACAAATTTTGCAAGCCATGAATTCCTTTCTTCTTTTTTCCAGAATGTAAACCAGCCAGAGTTCCTCCTTTCAAATGTCTTTGCTCTCAAAATAGCACGGTTGCCACAATGGCTATAAAAGACACAACAGGCTATACCTATCACCTACACACCAACAATGCCAAAGAAATAAGAACTGGGAAATTTTTGTTTCACTTGATATGTGTGCTAAGGACTCACAGCACAATTTTGGAGAATTGTCAGAATTGCAGGTCTCTTTCCAGCCACACGAGCAACAAGGCCAACATACCAGAGGCCAAGGAATATAACATGGAAAACAAGAAGAAACAAAATAGATGACACAAATATTGTCAAAAACAAAGATAGGTTCATCCTCATATCCACTCCCATTGATTGAAAACTAGGAAGATGATACAGCGCAGCTATTAATATCCAGGCTATATACCTGCAAAGTCAAACACCCAAATTATCAAAATTCATTAGCTTGATCTTACTAGTCCTTGCATAAACAATTAACTATGAATATTCTATCACAACATAAATTTAAAGACGAGTAATATTCATTGGGAAGAAAGGAAATGGAAACCTACCAACGACTGAAATTAGAATAACTTGGTTTGATTGTTTTCCCGATAAAGGGAGAAGAAAAGAAATAAAAGAAGCCTAGCAAACAGGCATACATCGACCACCATTTAATGTTGCTGTCTAACTTCTGAACAAGAGTATACATATTATCCGATGATATGAAAAATAGGCAACCCACAGCAACAGCAATGACAGCATGCCGTGAATGCTCATGTGGATAGGGATATGTGTGCATGAAAATAGTTCTAACTGTATCCATATTTAGAGTATCCAATAAACCAACAGGCTGTTTGTCAGACCCCATTGCACAATCTCAAAATTTCTGTCATTTCACTTGATTTACGATTTTGTAGTCTCCACTTCTCAAGAAACAACCATACAACGGAAATCAGCCCCTGAATCCTGCATAGACACGTGAATGAAAACCTAAACAACCATGTATTGAATGTTCAAGAACAATAAAGAATGACTCAATAAGCTGCAATTCGCTATGCTCGGTTGAAGAATTAAATCACAAATTTAACAATTCATCAACAACTTTAATAGCAAGGAACTAACTGAAAAGTAGACAGATAACAATGAATCCAGTAAAGCACTCGTATGACTTAACAGATCGCCAACTTGTCAAGTCAAACCCACAGACTACGAAACCCAAAATCCAATTAACCCAAAATAGGGGATGCAGAACGGAAATTTGACCCAAACAAACAAAAATAAAAACTTGTTTTTCCTTATTTTAGCATCATTATTCAAAATTAACCAGCATCACAATCCATCAATAGGTCAAGCCCTCAATAATAATCCTCAAAAATCACAATTTTACGTGCAAAACAATTTAAACTTCATCCATAATTGGAGGGAAAGGCGTACCTGCACGAAGAAAAGGATTAAGAATCGAAATGTGGTTTTGCTTAAGCGCGTGTAATTTAGTAAACAAAGAAATATGAAATGTGCGTGATTAAGTAACCAATCTCATCAAGCAACCACTTCTTCGTTGAATAGCATATTCCTTAGACCAGCAGCCCTTTGCCGCCACTCCTTACCCCTCTGCGTGACTTTCTAGTGAGAGGAAAAAAAGTATGCCACGTGGTCAGATTATAAACTGATGTAAGATTTGCCTATATATCTGTTAACAACTTGTGAAGAATTGAGCGATTTTTCTCTCTCGCAAACCCGCGATGAGGTTTTTGGTTGTTTTCTCGGGTTTTCGTTTAGTACCATGAAACGTGGGGTTTTCACCTCCTGACCGTTGAATTCGATCACACGCGGTCGTTTAACTGCACACGACAAACGTGGGCCGCAAGTTTTTGCTTTGAAAATTAGTCCAACATTTGAATGCTCTTATCAATATGGTCTTATCAAGAAAATAATTAAGCCCCGTTTAGTGCATATTATTTGGAAAAATAATACATTTTTTCATTAAATCAGCCTACAATATTTGACTTCAACACTCTAAGGTAAGAACCATGATGTGATGTTTAAAATGCATTTTTGTTGGAAAAATGTGGAACAAACGGCCTCTAAGCATTTAGAAAAGATTTAGGGCATGTTCGTGCTGATTATGAGAATTAATTTTTTGATCGTTAGAGAGAAAAATGAGAGCCACCTATGAGTGAATAAGTCAAAAATGATGGTTGAAATAGTGAAATAACGATCTACAAATCATTTTTTGGGTGAAAAATTACCACCAGACGGGGGCTTAGCCTTGTTTAGTGGCCTTAAAATTTTAAAAACATAATTTTGAATATTATTTTTTGAAAAACGTGAGATTAAAAAGTAAGGAGAAGTTTTGAATTTACGTGTAGAATTTTTTATTGTATTAATTACTGGTTCAAAAGTAAGAAAACTATATATCTACGTGCAAAATTATTCTATTGAGTAATTGAAAATGAATTATAAAAAAAAAAATTAACTTCAAAGAATTTCTCCCAATCAGTGCTCAATTTTGAAGTTTTTATCTCGAGTTCAATACTAAACTCGGAGTTAGTTGATTAATAGATCATCAAAGTTCGAGTCCATAAGTAGTGACAATTGCCTATAAAGACTTGCTTTCATTACAGCACCAAAAAATTCCCCTAATCAAGACATTGATAGCTCATTCTTTCAAAGGCAAGCGGTCATAGATCAGCTTCTCTCACTACTTGGGAACCTACTATTTCATGTTTTGTTTCACTCTCCGATTGGGGTTCTTTTCACCATTCTCCTGCTGTTTTCTATCGCTATTGGTTACTATAAAGCGATATTAAGTATACTTATTTTCAACTTCTCGAAACATTTCATCAATTACCACACTTTTCATCACTCTGGGGGCCTAAGTATTCATTGTAAAACCATCTCTATTGGGATATGGATTGCACAAGAAAGTGTGTTTACTTGGCAAGGAAAAAGAGAAGCATGTTTAACACCCAATTCACGAGTGGAGTAGACATCCTCCACATAATTTTTTACAATTTATCCCCCGTTTGAGCCCCATTATTTTTCGTTACATTAAATTAAAATTCTCTTTCATACTTTTAACCACACAATTTTAATTAAATAATATTACACATAAATCAAAAAAATTTTAAACATTCATTTTTAAAAAAAAAAAAATACTGTTCATCTCATTATAATGTCAAATAATGGGGCTCAAACACACCATAATATCTTCATCTAAAAATTTGGTAAACCATTTTTCCATTTAATTTTTTTGATTTATCTCAACTCCTTTACTACATTTTTTCTCTTGTACATGTTGTCCACAATTTTCGCAATCGACAACCTTATTGGAGATGCTTTTATTCTGTCCCCGTTTTGCTTCCCGCGTTACAATAGTGCACACCGTTGCATTGGAGATGCTAAGTATTTTCCCACTTCAACCTCGCCTTTATAATGCTATACTATTCTAAAAGGGTACTAAAATAATATGATCTTCTCAACGTACATGAATTATAAACCACATATTGAATCATCATTCAAACTTATTTATCCATAAATAAACATACTTATTGCTAAATAATTTAAGCTTTAGTCAAAATACACTTATTTAGAGATGCCAACTTACAAGTTTGATCTATATGCTATTAATTCTTGAATGACTATCTACCTAAATTCACAGAGATGGACCACTGATGGGGCCAAAATTCGAATGCAAGGAAATGTGGTTACTAATATAGCCAGAAAGGATAGGATATCATTGCGAGCTTTTGTAGTTGCACCTTAAATAATATTTTTAAGAGCATCTAGAAAAGACTCTTCATTTTTAAATATCATATTCTATCATTTAGAGAGCATATATAAATTTAGAGAGTTAAAATTTTAAAATATTCTAACAATCTCTTTATATTTAACATTTCATTTTACTACGGTCAAAAAATATTTATTATTTTTCTCTATCTTTTATTTTAACTAACTTTTCTTTAGATTGTTTTATGATTTCCTTACATTGAAAATTGAAACACTTTGAATGCATTTTACTATAAAGATTGAGTTTGGCCAAACCCACTCTCTAAATTAAAAAAAATTTTAGAGCATAATTTTAAATGTTGACTCTTTAATATAGAGAGCATATCATGTTTAAAAAATTTCTTGAAGATGCTCTAAACGTTGACTTGTTACCTTGCGAAACACTAATAAACTCAATTTTCAATTTTTATGAGTAATATTAATGTAAAAATTTGACATGTACCAATGGATGTGTCTTTCTATAGTATATGACAACTAATTTTTTGCTTTCTCCATGATGGGAAAAAAATATATAGCCTTTGTATTGTATAATCCAATAATTGTATTGGAGATGATTTTTTCATATATGATTTATTTTTATTTATAATTTTTTTTTTAACAATCTACATTATTAATGGAGATACTAAGGATGTTAATTTCAAAAGAATAGGCTTCGGGTTCGTTACATTCTGTAAAAGAGTTTTTTAGAAAGACTACCTTAATTTTTGTTTGAAAACTAATTTTTTTTAAAAACTTCTTCTTTCTGAAATACTTTTAGAGGAAGTCACATTAAATTAACTTTCTCAAAAAATTCTTTTAACTAGAACAACACTTTTATAAAATTGGTCAAAATGATCCAAAAACAACTTCTGTCGCCCCATGGCCCTGGCCATGAAGCACGATTCTTTTAAAAATCATGCTAAATGGACCCTTCCTATCATCAAGTTATAGTGTTTTACACATTGCATACTATTCAGCTACTAGATTCGTCCCAGTTTTCCTGCTTATCCTTTTCAAAAGAGGCATTTAAGCCTGGCTAAACATGCTTTTCCTTTCGAAGAACTGTTGAACTGGCCATGGTCCAATCCATTGAATATATATTAAGCAATTGGGATTTGATCCCTCTAAAATCGTCATAATGGAAAGGACAAACAATTGTGAAAAATTTGAAGTCACACATTTTCTATTCGAAAGAATTAGAAAATACTTTCATAATATCAATATAATATATGTGAAAAATTAGAAGAGCCAATGTGATCGACCTCAAATCATTTAACATTTCTACTTTATTTTTAAAAAAAATAAAAGAACATGTCGACGATTTAAGGAGTTCATTTAGAATTTAAAAAATTTAATGCATTAGCATCGACCCAGGAATTCAATTAGTGATCCATAGGTTCAACACGAAATGATGACTCAAAAACTTAGCTAGTTCAATGATTAAACGAATAGAATAACTATAGTTATACATATGATATTATTTACATAATATCTCATTTTTTATTTTTTCATCAAACTGTTGCACTTTATTAGCGCTTGTATGTGAACTCTTTTTTACCAAATTATAATCAGAAATTCAATCGTTAGACAACTATCATAATTGACTGAGGCTGCAGATAATATATTACCAAAAAAAAAAAAATTGTACTATGGTGTGGAGTTTAGGTGGTATTTTTATGAAGGATATTAAATTAATAAATCGTGCGTAAATTAGAGAGAGGAAGTCAATTCATGTCAAAAATTCAAGATCAGGACACTATATAACGGATATATTATTGCGTAAAATTTTATAACTATTGCTCCCAAGTAGGGTCTCGATAACAAAACATAAGATGATGCAAGATAAAATATACTTTATAAATTAACCTTAAGAATTGGCAAATTTTGTAGCTACAATTTCTTTTCTATTATCAAATGCTTCAAATAAAGCAAATCCTAAAAAGTAAAACAAATCCATGGATGAAAACAGCTGAAATCCCTACAGAGACCCCTAAGGGGAAAGCTACCCCTAAAAGAGGAATCTTCAGGCAGGCATAATAAAAAGAAATTGAAAATGAAAGGAAAACTGGCGGCCAAATCCAGCAGTTGTATTTAGTATTT